TGCTGTAATTGTGTGATCACTTTGCTTGTAGAAGACTATGACAGACCCAAATCATCACTGCTGCATGTACAGCCACGTTCAAACAGCAGCATTCGAATATGCAGAATACGGTTGTCCGCCCTGTATTTGAGTCCTTAACACGGTTACGTTCACACAATACAGTTATTTACGGGGGTGACAACCGCATTGTATAACCGAACTCACATTTTCAGGACTCACAACCGCATTCTCGGAAAACACGCGCTGTATGAACTGGACAACTAGTTGTAGTACAGTGCGAGAGAGCCGCTCATGTGTGGTTTCACTTTGGGTATAGCGACGGAGAAATGAGCCGTGTGTCATCTGAAGGTTTTAGATCCGGTCACTGTTCTCCACTGGAGCAGTTTCCGTCAGTTTTGTGTTCTGTGCGTGACTCAAATTCAGTGTCATGCGCGAGATGCAGAAAAGGATGCGAGCGCATATACGGGCTTTACTCTCGTTGCACATTCGTAAAGACAGTATTCGAGATGCTACTGTAAGCTGCTGTTTGAACGGGACCTTTGAGACTGTAAGGAAATGCGGTTGTCAATCCTAGAAAACTGAGTGTGAACGTGGCCGTAATACAGGGGTCATCACCAGACTCAGTCCTGGAGGGCTGGTGTCCTGCAGAGTTTAGCTCCAACCCTAATTAAACACCTGAATCAGCTAATCAAGGTCTCACTAGGTATACTTGGAACTTCCAGGCAGGTGTGTTAAGGAAAGTTGGATCTAAGCTCTGCAGGACCCTCCAGGACCAAGTTTGGTGACCCCTGCCGTAATTAATGTAGTGATTACTTTCTGGAGCTATGGCATTTTTAAACTGTGTCCGAGATGTTAGCGTGTCTCTAACTTTTCTTTAATTTTAAGAGGAAACGCCCACATTTCTAAGATTTCTCTTAAAATTGTGTCACTAGGAGCAACTCTTTGCACTAAGAATTTTCATGAATATGGGCCCCGATTACTATTGACATGACAAAGGTCTTTGCAGACTTAGACCTGATAGTTTAGTATGATCTTATGTTTTATCTTATGTCTTTAGGGCTCTAATGCTTGATGGGAATCCTTTCCGTAATCCAAGAGCTGCCATCCTTAGTAAAGGAACAGATGCTGTCCTTGAGTATCTCCGAAGTCATATTCCAGCATAATCTTCACGTTTAATGTAACTTTAACCATTGTTGATAAACGATCAATTCTTGTGCCATAACACTTTGATTATTTGCACTCCGACCGTATAAAAAAACCCCCCACAAAACACAAGAAATCATCTCCTGCCACTTGTTTTAATTCATCTTATCTGCCACTCTGCCCTTAAAAATGACATTGTAACGTCATTACAGTTTTGTAATTTCATCTTTTATAAACAAAACTTTGGCATGCTTTGTAATGAAGTTAAGCCAAAGGCAACTAAATGAACAAAAAAGTTGTTTGTGTTCAAGTTTTAAATGTTATAATTGCTTTTCAGTGTGAATGTTTATATTTTCAATTATCAAAGAACTAGTAATAAATTATGAAAATCAGACTTTTGGTTCTAGCATTTTATCATCTATAAAGGACCACAGAATGACCAGTAGTAACAATAGTGACATTTTTATTATTTGTACAATAAAGATACATTATTCAAAACACCTCTTAGATACTGAAAAAATTCTGTACTCCAAAGCCGAAAATGGCTCCAATATTTGCTGAACAGTATTGGACTTTCTTCTCCTTTATATACAGGTTTGTTATTTTAATTTTGTTAACTAAAATTGATTTTAAATATGTACATATATCATCTGCAAAATGCATTCTAGACACAGAATATATGTCAATTACATATTTGTGGTAATACCGGAAAAAAAAAAAAATTGGAAGGAGTAAACTTGCATGTGCAAATAAATGATATGATAAATTGTCACTAATTCTTTTGAACTAAATAGAATAATTTATTCTAGATATAATTACTTTTTGCACAAAAATGAAACGGCATTCAAGTTCAATAAGTCTTAATACTGCAGAAAGCTTTAAGTACATTCACAATCTATTGGAATAAATAATTTAAATGTCTCCATTCATAGTTATTTACATCAATACAGCAAGTAGACTGAATAGTACCATATATTACCTTTTTATATTCAATAGGTCTTTAAACACATACAAAAATTACAATTTGTATATTCATATACATATGTTTATGACACAAATTCACAATTACTTTAGAAAGAATTGTACATATTTGTTTCTAGTGTTTCCTTTTCTCGCAGTCGAACTCTCTGTCCATACATTGGTTTTGTGTTCTTTATAAAATGTAACAATTTGAGCATAGCTAATTATATCGATATATTAGAAAGCATTATTTGAAAACATGTAGTAAAAATAATCATTATCAAATGTTCTTTCACAATAGTATTTGAACAATTAATTGCATCATCCATAATAATCTTTAATAATCAACAATATTCCTCTGAAGCTAAATGCAGTGGGTGTTGTGTTGGGGTCTTTCAGAGTGCATTTCGGCTCGAAACTCTCCTTCTAAATGCTACATTTTTAGCAACATTTGAAACATGCCCAGGATTTTTGGAGGGATATTATGGCACTGTTTATCACAACGATGATTGATTTAAAAGGGGGAAAAAAAGGCCAAAAGAGATGTAAAACAATGGTTATGTAAAAAGTTTTTCCAAAACACATTGACCCCCTAATAAGCATCCTAATAAAACAAGTTTAAGATTGAAAGCATGCGCTAATCAGTAAAGCTTTAAATGTTTACACTGTATGTAGTCTGTTTTATTATGACAGGAATTCCCCGTTATTCCGTAAAAAAAAAAAAATATATTTAAAAACCTTAAAGCAGCGTAACAACAACAAAGCAACTGGAATTAAGCTTTTTTGCCTTTTTCTTTCACTTAAACTGTATTGTGATATGAAAGTACATTTTTATGTAGAAAACTGTGTTGACAATAAACTGCCAGATGTGTATGAATTTTCCTGGCAACAAACAAAGGAACATGGGAATTAAAAAAAAAAAACATGGAAATGTACATTCACATGACTTAGCGAATGAATAAGACCCACCCTGATCTGGGCTAGGACAAATCCATGACTACCAATAGAGGGTGCTGCAGGAAAGCCACAAAAATGGAAGAAATATTGCTTGGGGAATCTTTTCTGTCATTTGATTTGTGCAAATACAGAATGTTAGCGTTTATCAAGATTAAAAGGGGACTTTTTCGATTTCCCTAAATTGTTGTTTGCATGAGAAGGATGTCTCTTCTAAACTTTTACAAAAACTCATCGATGTGTTAGAAAATCATCAATGCGTCTTTCATTCACATTCTACACTCTTATCACATTTGAGTCGTAAATGTATATATTTACACAAGGCATTTACAAAGTTGAGGCAGTGTTATGGTGGGTAAATGTCCTTAAAAGCAGATGTGCTTTCATGCTCCAAGATTAAACCGAAAAGCTGCTAGGAAAAATAGGTACAAAATAATACGCCATATAAATAAGCAGGAAAAAAATGCACCCACTTACAGCCACAGGCTGAGATAAAGAAGAATATCAGCAACATCAACGAAAGATTTCAACCAATGTATGTTTGTGTAGAATGTGTAAGCCGTATGTAACATTATTAGATATGTCCTCTAGTGTACATTTGGCACTGGAATTTGCCATTGGTCCAGCAATTGGCAAAATTGTTCCTAGATAAAAAGATGATGTACAAGTTCCTGTGTTCCATCTGGGTGAGAAGTCTTTAAGCTATAAAAATATTTATGTTGTGCTCTCCCTTAAGATTACCAAGTCCACAGTTTTCGGGAAATTCTTCAGAAGAGACACTGCGGTTTCATGCTCCATGTGTAAGAAACTATGTCCGTTGACCTGCAATGCAAGAATGAAGCACATGGTAAACAAAATGAACTGGGAGAGGCGTGGAAGAACGGAGGGAGGGAGGAACAGAGGGAGGGGGGCAGGAACAGGCCTAGCTCAAGGAGGATAAAGAGATATAGACTGTGAGGGAGAGAAAAGAGAGAGATGCACACAGGAGATCATGCTGTAAAAGGAGAGAAGGTGGAAAGAAGCTGGTCTTTAGACACTCTGGATCTGTGGAAAGAGAAGGAGCTGCTTTCTGCAGGCCATTCTAGTGGCGTACACTGACAGCAACACACAAAACCAGACAGCCCAATAACTTTCCAGAAAGCTATTTAGGCACACAGAGGCTGGATTGTAGTTAGGCAGCAATGCCAGGCTTTTTGCTTTGGCAAAATATGGAAGACAGATACTATCTGAATAGCAATTTAGACTTGGGTGTTGTTCGTTTGGCAGTTAATGTGTGTGTGTGTGTTTTTAGGAAATGTTCTACAAGTTTCCTAATTATATTACTTTTTACTGTTCAAAAGATTGCCATCAGTAAGATTTTATATTTTTTCTAAATAATATAAATTTTATTCAGTAAGGATGCATTAAATTGATCAATTTACGTGACAGTAAAAATTTCCAATGTTACAATTTTGTTTTAAATAAATAGTTTTTTGATTAATTAGAGAAAAATGTATCACAGTTTCAACAAAAATATTAAGCAGCGCAACTGTTTTCAACATTGATAATAATAAGTAGTTGGTAACACTTTACAATAGGGTCTCATTTGTTAACATTCGTAAATGCATTAACAAGCTAACATGAACGTGCTGTTTTTACTGTATTTTTAAATCCTACCAAGCCCAAAGTTTTGCATATAGTATATATAGAGAGAGTTATTTTTTGGAAGGGTGAAGGGATACATTCCACTACACTGCAAAAGACCAGATTCAATCTGCATCACAAAGTTAAATGTAAAATAGCAAATTGAGGTAGTTGGTGGTGTTGATTAGTCTGTTTCACTGATTTCCATTCATTTTGTAATATATTATTAATAAAATTCAAATTCAATGTAAAATATATAATTTCATGCCATTTAATTTACTTGCGAGACTTAAGGCTATTAAGACTATAAGGCTTAAAATATTATAACAATTTGTTCTTTTACATCAGACAAGACAATAACACATGTCAAAGTTGGACAAACATAACAACAGAAGTCCATGCTCACTTGTTTGAGACACAAACACACACTCACACATACACACTGGACATTTAATGCCACATGCAAAGCCCTCCACTGGCAGTGTGGCGGAAGATGCATTGCCACAACTTGTGGGACAATGTGATGGAGAACAGTGTTACCTTCAGAATTTTGTCCCCTGGTCGAAGAAGGTTGGAGGCAGGTCCATCAGGCTGTACCCTAGTAACAAAGATACCCTATAAGTCAAAAGTGATATGAGGTTAGGAACCACATGGTGACTATGGTTTAGAATCTTTGCCTTTTAATCTGGATTTAGATTTTCTTTTGTTTTTCTCTCTCTTTTTTTCTCATAAATTCAAAGGCAATCTATAAAATAATTACCTTCATCTATAAAATTATTACCTTTTACAAGTAAATGCAAAGGTTAAACTGAAAAACAAAACATGTAAGATTAATTTATTTTTTATTTTAGAGTATTTGTTAGTGACAGTGTTTTTGTGCTGGTATCAAGGCAGAGATTATAAAGCATACAGATTTAAATTACATGTGGGACCCATCAGTATGCGCCATGTCAACACATATGAAGTCTTATTATTGGCGCCACATATTGAGAGTCCACCAAACTTTACTTAATTTCTTCGGGGCTCACAGGGATTCGACTTGTTAGAAGAACCCCAAAGCGACAATACACAACATAAGCAATCTTTATGCTATGTTGAAAACCTTATGGGGAAAAAAGAACAACACATTTCCATGCAAATTGACAATTTCTATCTAAACACAGTATAATATTAATACACATTCCTAACATAAAGCTACACATGAAATGGAAACAGAATGTCTTTTTTTCCCCCATGTACTTCAGCAACACTTGAGTCACAAAACACTTTTGTTTTAACTATCGCCAAATGTTGCCAAGACATGAAAAGGTTAACAGGTAATGCAGTCAGCTGGTGTGCAAGGTTGTGCATTGCAGTAGCGCAGGTTTCCATGGTAACTACTGAGAGGCACACTTTACTAACTGAAGAGAGATGGCTTTGATTTTGCTCGATATAAAGCATCGCTTTTAAAGCGATTTCTGAGAATGAAATGCTGAAATTAGCATATTACATTATGCTCTGTCCTTTAAAACCGAGAGTGAAATGGTCTTACCATGTCCGAGGGCTTGAAGGGGTTCCCCTGTCCACTGATTCCCCCTGAGATGCTGAAACCAAGGCCAGGGTTCTTCTCGATCCTCACACAGAGCTATTAACGACATAAAACAGAATTTCAGGTTTAAGGCTACGTCTACATTCATCTGGATACATTTGAGAACACATCTCTTTCTCTCCGTTTTTGGTCTTCCAAGTGGATAAATTTGAAAATGCCGTTTTCTTGTTGTAGTGTGGACTGTGAAAATGGAGGTATTCGAAAACAATGATGTTTAGTCATGTGATCCATACTGTACCCATAGATATCTATGGTTATACAAGCATGGTTACAGAATAGTTATTTTTTAACTGCTTTGGCGCAATTTTCACAAGCAGTTGGTACATTTTCAAAACTCTTAGTACTAATATCTCAACAGATCATCAAAAGTGCACTTTTTTCAAACATTTCAGCATATTTTCAATTGTGTTAGTACAATACACACAATCACAAAATATCCTTTTCACTACACAAAATAAGTGTTTCATCTATATAAATGTTTCATTCACAGTAACTGCCTTTCATAAAGCTATTACTATCAAACTTTTCATTAGCATGTCTTCTCATTCATTTTAATTCATGTCTATTATTTCATCTAACTCATCTTAAGGTTAATCAGTGAATCATTTGGTGCATCTATAGATATAGATTCAATAGATATTTAGTTTCTATAGAACGTGATTGTAATTTAGGGATAACCAAATGCACTGAATTATTTTTACACTAAAAGTGATTTATCTAAGATGATAACCACTATTTTGTGCAACCTGGTCTCCTGGCAAAAACGTACCCGGGGGCACATTTTCGCGAGACGCGAAATACGTACCAATAAGTACATATCACTGCAGTTTCCAAAAGAAATGAACAGAGGCAGTAAAACTCCAACACCTTTTATTCCTTTTCACACACAATTACTTGAAGAATATCATGTTATGCAGTGGCGGGCCGTGCATTTTACACCTAGGCCTTCAGTGGCGTCCTACATGAATTAATCCATCTCTTCATACCATCATAATGATGCCACGGCTATAGAAACCATAAATATTACACAGTACGGAAACTTAAACCTGGCTTTATATCGCGCAAATAACATCAGCATACAATGCATCAAGCGATAAAAGAGTCAAAAATTACAATTAACCTACCATACTCTAGTGGTTTTTCATCTTTACGAGTCTTTCACAGAGCCGGTGCCGAGGAGGTGTGTGGTTGTTTTTCGCAGTCATTTAGGACTACTGTTTTTAGATTTACTAAATATAGTAGGCAAATATTTTTTCAAAATGCACTGAAAATCTAAACCTGAGAAACAGTAATAAAAGTTTTACTAAGTTTTAATAAAATTATTTACAGTGATGCTGTTTGCTAGCTAGTATGCTGACCATCCAATCAAAGGACGAGAAAATGCTAACGTTATCGTTAGCCAGCTAGATGGCCCTGGTGCTGCCAACTCGAAATCTGATTGGTTAACGCAACGGTTTCTTTGCCATTGATTTAAGCAAACAGATGCCTGCACTGTTGATTCTGAAGGCCTTAAGGCAGATTTCTTTGACCCTGGCAACACGATTGCTGAAATATGATTGGATAAATTTGAATTCTGAACCGCCGCAATACGTACCTGAAGCAACGTAATAAAAACACAGCAATACGTACCTGAAGCAACGTAATAAAAACACAGCAATACGTACCTGTCCTGATGCAACGTAATAAAAACGTGCCAGGGTTCACGTACTGAACCCATGTTTTAGCGCCACTCAGTGGACATTTCTCTTTGAAACTGCGGCGAAACGTGCAGTAAGGTACGTAA